TGTATATAACATTATAAAATTATTTTCCAATCGTTTATTAAAAAGACCACAAAGCTTACAATATATGTAGATCAATATATAAATATGGAGAACTTGCCTCTTTGAACTTTCAAGAATATCATTATCATTAGACACGTTCTATGTCATTTCCTGTATTCAATTTCTTATTAGACTTATTCATATGTTTGCCGTGTCTTGAAGACAAAGTGTTGTGATTTCGTACCGTATTACAAAGTAAATTTTTATTAAATTTATCCACGTTAAAATCATATTTTCTCTTTTTTTATTACTGTTTATTTGCTATTTTTTATATACTTTATTGATTATACTTTTGTCTATACGTTTAAACATGGAAAATAACGCGGCAAATGTGTATATTCCGGCCTTTTATGCCGGCCGCAGTATTTTTATAACCGGTGCAACAGGTTTCTTGGGGAAAGCACTTATTGAAAAGCTTCTGCGATCTTGTCCCGAAGTAGCAGAAATATTTATATTGATCAGACCAAAAAAGGGACTGAGCGTTAATGAGAGGCTTAAAAAAATGTTAAATAACAAGTTATTCGACAAACTAAGAAATGAACAACTATCCAGTTTTGACAAAATCATCCCTGTAACAGGAGATGTAGCCGCTGAAAATTTAGGATTGCTGGCCGTAGATCGTGAAATTTTAATTGACAGAGTATCCATAATTTTTCACGTTGCCGCTAGCGTCAGATTTGATGAAAGGCTCCAAGAAGCGGTCTTTAATAATACTAGATCAACACGTGATATTTGTATCTTAGCCGAAAAAATGAAAAAATTGGTAGTAAGTATTTATTATTTTATTTAAAATCAAGTTTATTATAGATAGATACCTTTATTTGATCCCCTATGAGGTTACAAAGAAGATATCGTTTCCTATCGAAGATATACCGTTTCCTTCGCATACAATTTCAACTTATACCAACGCTTGCACCGCACACCACTTTGTACGCAATTGCCATCGCCTTCATCTTCTTATTCCTACTTTCCTACTTTTCTTAGATTAACCTAATACTAACTTAAAACTATAATAACTTAATGCTACCTTACAACCTATGCAAAGGACTTCCGTTTCCCCCATTTACTATCCTTTTTGATCTTCATTTTTCAAATATTCTCCATACTTGTTCTCTCTTTCATTTTAATCTCTTTCAACCCTTCACTCATTTCTTTTTTCATCTCCTCCATCGTCTCTTTTCCCCTTCTTTCTTCCCTCTTTCTTGTTTTAGTGATCTCTGTAATTTTTTGCGCGCTTCAAAAATCATTTTTTCCTCTTTCTCCATCTCCATCTTTTCTCTTTTCTTTTTAAACAATTTCAAACTAAACAATTTTTCAAATTAAACAATTTTTAAACAATTCATCTATGTTCCCAGTACTTCATCTTCTCTCTATTCCTTTTTCTTCCCCCTCCCCCCCCCCACATCCTCTTACATTCCTCTACTATTTTTTCTCCTTTTCTATCTCTACTCTTTTTTTTTTAGTATCCTCTGTATGCTGTTTCTCTATTCTATATATTCTTTCTTTATCTGCGTCCGCTGTCTATGTTTCTCTTCTCTCTATTTTAATTTTCCCACGATACTACTCGCCTTGCCTAGGTGTGGGCAGAGAAGTAAAAAAGTTTTTACTTCTCATTTCATAGGTAAAAATGCTCGGATATTCGTTCTCGAATACTTACGTCTTCATTTTCTTTCTCCACCTCGCTATCGCAACTATCCGTCTGCATCCACGGCTTTAAAAATTTTGTCGGCACCATAGTGACCCGAGATTCTTCGTGCTCACTTATCTTACACACTTCATAACGATCTTTTCCTAAAATCTTGGTAATCTGATATGGTCCCAAGAATTTTATAGCAAGTTTAAGTTCTGGTTTCTTTTGAGTCTTTTTGATGGCCACCAATTGATTTCGATAGTATTGCCTAGAAAATGCTCTGACAATTTATGTTTGCATTTGCTTTGGGATTACTAAACGTTCTTCGTTTCCATCACAAATCTTAAATAAAAGATCCTTCCTAATTACAAAGTTATCGGCTGTTCTATTTTTAGCGGCTTCAAAATATACTCGCAATTCGGCATCCTCTTACTGTGCTTGACTTAATCTTTCTGCGAAACATGCATTCTTCTTATTTATTATATAACATGAAGGCAAAGTATTCCGACTCAAAATATCTATATGACGCATAGCTTTGCCTAATCGGTGCTCAATCGGTAATCGAATTCTTGTAAGAAAAGCGCCAATCCAGCAACATGCGCGCGCGAACACACAGATCTTTCTTATTCATTGTCTTTATAAATGCATCGCAATCGGTAATAATTTGAAATGATATACCCAATAAATACACTCTAAATTTCTTCAGCGTTTTGACTATTGCAAGTACTTCGAGTTTGTAACTAGTATAGCTCTTCTGCGGAAATTATTTTTCCACTTGCATAGTATATCGGGTTCCACGAACGATCTTCCCCATCACTCTGAAATAAAATTTGTTTCAAAACCGTACATACAAGCGTCCGTGTGCAATTCCGTCTCAGTATTCACATCATATAACCGCAATACCGGTACATTCATTAATGTCGCCTTTAATTCATCAAATGCTCGTTGCTCTTCCTTATCAAAATTAAAAACGTTCGCTCGCAACAGATTAGTTAGAGGTTTAGCGTAATTTAGTATGAATTTTCTAAAATGTCCGGTTAGGCCTAAAAAACTTTGAACCTGCCTAACATTGTTTGGCTTTGAAAATTTTGCTACCGCTTTAAATCTTATTTACAGATGGTTTGATAAATCCATTTTCTATTATGTGCTTGAGACATTCGATCTGAGTTCGAAGAAAAGAACATTTTTTTCAATTAATTTATAACTTGTTGCTGACCAGCAACATTTAATACGAATTTCTAATCCTTTTTTACAATCAACTGATTTTACTACAATATCATCCGTATAAATCAGAATAATTTTATTCGCAATTAAATCTCTAAATATAGTGTTTATAAAAACGCTAAAAGACCGATGGAGAATTGCAAAGACTGAAAGGCATTTTGAGTTCGTAAACCATTTGGTACAACAAAAATTGTATATTTACAGCTTTTTTTACTTAACGCAACGTGAAAAAATCTGTTTTTTAAATTCAACGTACTAAAAACTCCAGCCCTTTGCAACCCATCCAGCTGGTCCTCCATTAGCGGTCATGGATATCTATCTTTAATAATTTTTTTATTTAAATTTCTATAGTTGATGCAGAATCTACTCGCACCGTTCTTTTTTAACCAAGACAACCAGGCTTGCATATTCAGATAGAGATGGTTGGATTATCCCGTCGCGTAACTATTCACGTATTTGTTTGTCGACAATTTCTTTTTCCGCGCGTACTAAACGCCTAAGCCGTTGCCAAAACAGATTCATCGTTCTTCGTTATTGTAACACCGACTTCTCTTACTTTCATTGGATTATATTCGTCTATTATTGTTTGTACATTACACCTATGTTCCTTATTGTCAATGTGTGATATACTTATGATACACTATTTACATCATACATAATATCAACCACAAATATTTCAGGTCGCTCCTGCCTTGCTTTGCAACAACTTGTTAGCTTCGTGAATGTTACTGTTCCACGCACCCGCCGGATTCACCGACTTATCAGCTTCGCCTTCGTTCTCGTTGTATTTTGTCTTCGTGTCTTCAATTTCTCTTTTAATTCGAACACCATAAATGAATAAGCGTTTTTCATCACCAGTTTTTAATCGTCGCTCATAAGTCGAACGAAATCGTTCATCGTCTTCGAATCGTCTCCGCAGCCATCTTTTTGCCGTTTTGTCTTTACCCCAAAATTATTCGCCGTTTTCAAATCACATTTATAACCGTCTTTCGTCTTTTTTTTTTAAATCTTTTCTTCTTCTATTATACTTCTTAGACTCACTTAAGGACAAGCCCCCCAAAATTGTAAGAAGAGGAGATATGTAATAATGGAAATCTAACGTAGAGAGCTGAGAAGTATATTGTACAATACCATGTCTCACAAGTGACTGCCCTCGTTCCAACAACAATATCGCGACAAATCGCTCATCATACATCGAATAATCTGTTTTAATACATATTATATGCATAACAGTCTTAGCGTCTCAAGTCGTCTAAATAATAAGCGCTCTACTTTACAATAGTAGGATAAAAGTATAAAGAAGATAAAAAAAAAATAAAATTCTCTTACTGTGTCAACTCAGTTAGCAACTCGTAAAACTCTCTTTATAATAAAAAGAAAATTTATTTTAATTTCATATTTAACATTGTAAAATGGACTATATATGAAAAACGCGAAGTGTATTAATTAAGAATGTGTCTATTGTCTCAAAATAAATTCTCGATATTAACAATATCTCAAAATAAATTCTCGATATTAACAATATCTCAATATTTAATGTATATATTCAAGGTTCTGTTGCACATTAGTTCAACATACACGCAAATTGATAAACCTGTAGTGGACGAGATCATATATCCTACAGAATTTGACTGGAAAAAAATGATAAAGATTGCCGAATCCATCGACGAGCACGCACTTGAAATATTAACAGCAAAGTAAGCTTTATAAAGGGCGATATATGTTATATTGTCACTTTTAAAATAAACATTTATTTACAGAATTCTAGGAACGATGCCAAACACTTACACGTTTACTAAAAGATTGGCTGAGCAAGTGATAAGCGATTATTCCAGATCATTGCCTTGTGTTCTCATGAGGCCTTCAATTGGTGCGTGCGTAATGCTAATACATCTATTTTTTAATCATTACTTGCATTTGTTTATATATAAATTTAGTTTTATGTTAATCAAATTTCCTAATTTAATGTTTTTGTTAGAATTAGTTTTTGTTAGAAATTAGTTTTATATTTGTAAAAAAATGTAAATAGTTGTGTTGTTTTAAAAAGTTGTTAAAAAAGAATGTAAAAATATTTTTGACACTTTCTGTTCTAGATTAATGTTATGTGTATATGTGTGAAAAGAATCGGAATTAGTTACAACTTTTTTGATAATTTTTATAGCCAATATCATTGAGTTTTTCAATAATTAATAAGAAATTAATTAACAAAGATTTGCAAATGTATCCACACAATTTAGTAACAAGAACAAATCCAGCGTTACTCGCGATTGTAAGAACTCCCCTGATGAAATTAAAAATCGGAGCGTAAATCGAATGTAATGGAAAAATAGCAAAAGCGTAAACGAAACTTGTAGAAGGCGAAAATTAGAACATCAAAATGTAAAAGCATTTACGCGTAAATGCTTCTTTTACATTTTGATGTTCTAATTTTCGCCTTCTACAAGTTTCGTTTACGCTTTTGCTATTTTTCCATTACATCCGATTTACGCTCCAATTTTTATTTTCATAAGAGTCTCCAATGCCTCTCCGCACAAGTACTGCAATGTAATGTCACATAATGTTGGGCTGCTTTTTCTTCATTGCTATTTATTTATTATTAAATCGTATGGATGCATTTTTATGGTAAAAGATTTTTTTGTTTTATTTTACGCTTTATCTGCTCACGAGAACAATTATCAGATACTCTATATTATAAGTATACTCTATACTCTATATAATAACAAAATATTTAGTTTTTATTTAATGTGTATATTAGGTAATGCAAAATAAAAAATAATTTATTAATATATCTTATATTAAAAACATTATGTTAAATATACAAACTAAGATATAATTAAAAAACAAGCTAACATAAAATTATACAGGAAATTGATACAGTACGGAATATATATTAAAGAAATATCAAATTACTTTTCTGCATTTAGTCATATCAACATTAATTGATGATCCTATATCGGGATGGCTTGACAATTTCAATGGACCTGTTGGATTACTAATTGGAGGTGGCAAAGGCATATTACGAGTGCTGTGGTGTGAGCCTAACATTATTTCCGATTTTATGCCAGTTGATGTAGTCATCAAGGCTCTTATAATTGTTGCGTGGAAACATGGAATCAAAATGTAAGCGTGACACTTACAAATAAAAGAACTTAACTCCTTAATGTGTTATATTCTAAAATAATAGTAGAAATATTATATACATTCGATTTATATAGAAATTCACAGCACATTTTATGCTTTAGTGAGAACAAAATTGATGTTTACAACTGTTCCGGAAACAGTATAAAGCCTATAACCTTAGAAAGTATGGTTAGCTTAGGTTTGGGCTTGACAAAGGACGTACCTATGGATAATATACTTTGGAAGCCAGGAACGACAATAACAAAAAATTTTCTCATATATTACGTATTAATTTTGTTATTACACATTTTACCAGCAATTTTTTTGGATGGCGTTATGAAATTATTTGGTGTGCGCCCAATGTAAGATTTTTATTTAAATATATAAAAATTTATTTTATTTTTATACAAACTTTTTAAAATTAATTTATAATTAAAAATGTTTTAAGAACTTTCCGGATATACATTCTAATTTTGGCAATAATAGATGTTTCAACAAAATATTTTCCGAAGAACAATTTTCAAAAAGAACAATTAATAAATGTTTCGGAAATATATCTTTTAAACGTTTATTCTTAATGAATTATATTTTATTTCCTAAAATTAAATTATAAAATATGTGAAATAAAACCTGTTGTAAGTTTCTTCTTTTAGATGCCACTTAAATATTTAGGCTCGAGTGCACCAATCTTACTTTAATTTTAAGCGAGGCTTTCTTTATTCCTGTTTCTTTTCAGTTTTAAAACGAGATAGAGAGAGTTTTAAGTCTCGCTTAAAATCAAATTAACATTAGTACAACCATGTAGTAATATATTCAATATTTGCAGCTTACTCAGATTACAAAGAAAAGTGTACGTGTCTAACAGCGCTCTGTCATACTTTTTGTTAAATCAATGGAAATTTATTAATACAAAATTGTTGAATATATTGGATAACCTCAGCGCCGATAATCGAAAAGAATTTGGATTCGCTTATCAAACTGTCGACACATTGCAATACTTTAAGTGAGTATTATCCGTATTCATAGTCCTTCCTTGAGAAATGAGAATTCCTTGTTCCTCATTTCACGTTTCATAAACTTTCCTTGATCAAATAAGAAGCCTTATTAGCCTCCTTTTCTCAAGGGAGGATACGAGTTTCCTTGAAAAGGAAGTGCAGTTTTCATAACCAAGCAAACCTCCAAATTAATTTTGTTACACCGGTCTTTTTACTATCGATAGCTTTTAATTTAGATCTGTCGCATCGATAATTATTTTCGATAGCTTTTTTTTCGGAAATAACCTGTGCCAAAAGCATTTTCTTCTTCTTCGCATAATAAGCATTATGGCGAATTTGACTAGAAGCACTGATGCATATTAAAGCCGTTGTACACTGATTTAATAAAAATAAAACGTAAATATCTTGAATTATGAAATACATATTTTACCTAATAGTGCAATAAAATGTATTGAGTATTTCACAATTTAATCGAAATTTTTATGTTTATTTATAAACATATATTTACATTATTTTGTGTATGTACAGCGGTTTTAATGTACATCAGTGCGCCCAATCGAATTCGCTATTAATTTTATTTTTGTCCATTATTGTTGCAAAATGCTTAATCACAATTTTATTTAATGAACAATGTCTGTATAATCTTTATTATTCATAATTCATGATATTAGGTTTGGATTATTATATATATGACATGCTGCCTTCAGTAGGTAAAAATCCTTAAAATTTTCTTCCTTTGGGAAGGCCGGCTTAAGATCAGTTTATAAAACAAGAAGGCTTTAAAAAAATCAAGGAATCCTTTATGGAAGCTTCCTCTACTCTTAACATAAGGAAGGACGATATGAATACGGGTGTATGACTTATTTATATAGGGGAGATCGGGGCAAGTTATTACACGAGGTAAGTTGTTACAGTTAGTTTTTTTAATTGCCACAGGTGACAGCACATTTTTACAAATTTTTGTATGTGATTCTTGTGATACTCTTCACTTAGTTTAGCCGCCATATTTGAACTCTAGAAGATGCTATGTATATTTTTTTATTTTCACTATTAAAAGAAATATTTAATTGTATAAATCACTTGTGTTATTATACATATAAGTTACAAATATGTAATTATCCTTTTGTATATTTCTTTTATATACATTTAATTATAATAACACATTTTATTTGAATCGATATATGTATTGGTTTTCGATTTGTATTTTTTCGAATTAAAAATTGAAAGTTGGGGCAAGTTGTTATACTTCGATCGAAGTAGGTTGTTACAGTATTACAACTTACTCCATTGAAAACAATTTTTTTCCTTCTACAAAATGATGCACAGACTTCTATAAATAGATTGCCGATTCATGTTTGAAGACAGCGCTGGGTAGCGCCATATTTGTGTTCATTCACTCTCAAATGTATAAATTACACAGATAATAACGTTAGTGTTTTCACATAAATATACGTGATATTTATAGACAGGACGCATACATACGCATATGTGAATTGAAACAAGGACAGCTCAGAATCAGGTTCATCTCTTTCTATCATATTGAATCAGCAATCAAGTTAATTATAAAAATCTATGCGATCTTACAAAAAAAAAGACAAACAGAGGACCTATAAATGTAGAAACGTATGCTACAGAAGTAAAGAAAGTTAAAGATGGCCACCTGTCTGTGAGAAAAGCAGTAAATGCGTGTAATATTAATTTTATGACTTTCCAACGTTAACTTTAATAACTAATTAAAGAAAAAATTATTGTAATAATATATTTTTTACATTGCATATTATAAAATAAATATTTCTTGTGAAATATTTCGTGTTTGATTTCATTGTAATCTTGAATTTGCTTGTACATATATATTTCAAGTAATATTGTAAATGTAACAATTTGTCCCACTTTTATAATAACTTGCCCCACAGTGGTAAGTTGTTATAGTTTACTTACTGATAGAAAATTTTAATTTTTAGTATTTAAAGATATATGGTCTGTTTGATTTGCTTACACTTTTTTACATTTAAAATGAGATAGATATATATTTCGTGCTGAAAAGGGAGAAAGCGAAGATGCGAAGTGTAAAAAGTGTAAGCAAGTCGAACAGACCTATAGATACAAATCAGAAAAAAATTGACTACCTAGATAAAGATGTAAAGCAATGCGTAAGTATTTATTAATTTTAATGTATAGTACGGAAAAAATTGTTAATCAAAAATTGTAACAAAATTCTAAATTGTAACTTGCCCCGACCTCGCCTGGTTATAAATTATAATGTAATAAAATTCTATTTATCTATATTTATTAACATCATTCTTCATTAACAGAAATGGAATAATTGGTGGAAAAATATATTTGTTAAATGAAAGCATGGATGATATAGAAGCAGCCAAACGTCACTATAAAAGGTGAGATACATCTCTTATTATAAAATAGAAAATCGGTACTTACTAAATAACTGTTTGATTATTCTCAAGTCCGTTTTTTTGTCACAAATTTTTTTCAAAACATTCAATCAAGAAGCACAGTAATGTTTCGTGTTACTGACACATTCTTTACAAATGATTGAAAGTAAAAGGTTAGTCGTACTTATCATAAAATTGCAATTACACTGAACACGTGTCATCTAAATATCTTAACATAACATTAAATACACTGCACACGGAGCGTAAAAAATTATGTTATGATGAAATTGAAATTAACGGTAAAACTGTTAATGGAGATAATTCGAAGCAAAATTAATAAGCAGATGGAAAATTAAAGATAGCGCTGCGTAATGTTGCAAAGTTATGTACACACAGCGCTGTTTGGTCGATCGTGGTGTTGTCAGCTGGAAATTAGGTCGTAACGTAGAAATATAACTCGACAACCGACGAAAGCTTTATAAATTGTAACGTCAACAGAACTACATTTAGAAACTTGTTAATTTTAGTTTTACTCAGAAGAGCTTTGTTAGGCTTTTCGTCTAGTTGCAGCGCTTAAATGTTTGAACAATTAAATCAAAAGTTTTAAAAATCCTGAAGAATAATATAAATTCTTATACATGTTATATTGCTAATCAAGTTGATTTGAGGAAAAACTAAAGCTGACCTACTCGTATGTTACATATTTTCGGTCAAGCATAAAACCAATGTGTGACATATATTCTATATGTGTCTCGAAGTGCTATTGCTAGCTATGTGTAACACTTAGACTGGGAAAGAATGCGAGTTACACTTGACATGCGCAAACATCTTTAGATGTCAAATTTTCAGGTTACTCTGTAATAAAACTGATACCAGCAATTTTAGACGCAAATATGTAAAAATATAAAAGAACATCCTACTGAAAAAAATCACATACAGTTGGATGACGAAATCATGTATTATAATTAAAACATGTAAATGGCGTAATGGATTGTTCCGAATCAGTATGTGATTTTAAAATTACATATTTTGAAAAGTTACATGATAATAATATGTTCTTTTTTCTTCTATCATTCAATTTTTTTAAATTTGATAACTATAACATCACATAATATTGTAGATGAAATTATTTGTAATATCATATATGTGATTTTTCAAATTACATCATTAAAAAAAATCATGTACTGATTTGGAATAATCCGTTATATGATTTACATGTTTTAATTATACAATTTCATCATGTATAATATTGTGATTTTTTTCCAGCAGGACAAAGTTAAAGTAAACGCAAATATGTTACAATTCTGGATTTGAGTTTTTTTTAATACGAGAATCAAGTATAAATAATTTGCGTTTACTTTAACTTTATTTGGTACATCCCAATTGGTTATGAACTGTATTGCGTATGAATATATAATTACATAGATATTTTACTTGTATTACAATACATTTATTCTTAGAATTACAAATATAATATTACTATTAGATCTTAATTTTTTAATACTATTTTATTTTAATTAAAAAGTAAATAAATATAATCATCTTTTTTGCAAAGATCACTTCATTTTATTTATTTGTAAAAATTGATTAACATCATTTCTTCCATAAAAAAAAATTTTTATGAAAATTCTGTTCAATTTATTTGTAATTATAATTTGTCTTATATGTAATACAATTGCATCATTCATCTTTTGTTCTAGCCATCATTATTTGTTATCTTACAAAACGTTGCTATATCAATTACTGCATATAAAACAATTAGAGGAAAAGCCCCTATTATGAGATACCGAGTTTTGGGTAAATGCTAGAAGTCTATAGGCAGAATTAAAAAAAATAATAGATCATTTTGAAGGAAATTTAATAAGCTTTAAAATAACGTTACATAAAAATTTAATTCAAATTTCTTTTTTTTTTAAATTAAAGAAATGTAAAAAGTGAGCAAATTACAAAGTCAAAAAAATTGTGCTCCTAATGTGAGATGCCCCGAGAAATCGATAATAAAACGCAAAGTATATCAATATCATAATTAAAAAACTTTATTTAAGGTTTCTAAAATATAAACAAACACAGCCAGTGTGCGCGAAAAATGAGCATGCGATAATTACTCAGAATTTGTTTTCAGGTAGTTGGAATCAAGCAGATATAGGTACTCAACGTTCATTCCGGTTGTCTTTTTTATTATTGTACAATAATATTTATACTTTAGCAACGATTTTTACTAATATAGAAGCATGGGTTATTTTATATTAAGAATACCATGGATATTTCATATTACGATTTCTACGTCTTATGGTTTTACGATCATCAAATATAACTTCTGTAATTAAACAATTCAACATATTTCATATTTTTCTATTAGTACGACGTTACTCTATCACTACATGAAGAATTTATTGCCAAATATTTATTTATTAAATAATAAACAAGGTTTAAATGCTCATCTCAATGAAACTTGAAGACATCCAAATTTTAAAATCTTATTTTACAATGTCTACAGGCATAATCTAATAATGAATTTTCTATTAAATAGTTTTCAATCCAAGAGCAATAAATTCATAGTGAAATAAACCAATAGATTTATTAGTTTAGCAGAAACGCGCGCCACTATTTCATATTAGCCGCCTATCTCATAATAGAGAGCTTTCCTCTAATATAATTATAATATAATTGATTGTGAGATAAAATTGCTATGCATCTTAACGTTCTCGTCACCATTACATTATCAATATACAATATATATTAGTACATGCTTTACATTTTTAAATATAAGAATTTATGTTTACTGATAATTATATTTGCATTGTAATTGTATGGTATTTACGCAATCCGATATTTGCATACAGACGTAACTCACGGATTGCAGGATTTACATTTCATGCTTTTTCATATTTATAATCTAAGTGATTAATAAAAATATCAAACGTTGTTTGTGAAAGCAGACAAAACCTCTGTTTTTCCCAAGGAAGGATTCTGGTCTAGAAGCTTTTTAAGCTATTTTCACGAATTTTTTTTTGAAAAATTTATAAGAGCTATTCAAATAAGAGTTGTTCCTACATATTAGTACATAACATTACTACATATTAGTACATTTTTTATTGTAATTTTCCAAGAAATAACAATTTACACATGAACAAGATCATGAAAAAAATTCGGTGATCATGATTTCTCAAAATCTATTAGACCAATCGCGCCCAAATTTCGCGCACATCTTTAGCGCATATATAGTTCTCTAAACTACAATAAAATTAAAATGTTTATTTTTATTTATTTTACAGCACTTAATGTTAGATGAAAAAATTCAAAAAATTCGGAAAATGTTCAAAATGACGCTATTTTTTTTCTTTCTAATATTTTTTTTATCATAGGTCAAACGACAGTCAAACTCATATGCTTTAAGAGTTTTTCTCCTTAGTTTTTTGTTTCAAACGAGCAGAACAGCCGCAATGATCATGTAGCGTCTTTTTTTCATAATCTTACATAAACTGTTATATAAGGCATATTTCTTAGAAAATTATAATAAAAAAATTTTAAAAGATATTTGAAATATGTAGGAATAACCCTTATTTGAATAGACCCTTACGAATTTTTCACAAAAATAGCCTAAAAGTTTCTAGAACCAAAATCCCCTCTTAAGCTACTCGCTAATACCGAAGCGAGGAAGATATTACAGCTTAGAAATAACTTTCAGAAGGTTTAAACAAAACGGCCATCATAATATATATGATAATACAAACTGTATATCAAATTTTTATCTGTCTTAGCATCATCTATCTATTGCAATGCTGATTCAGCTATTATTCCGTTAATTTTCCTTGTAAAATACTACGAGAATCTACGTCAACTGATTATAATTAGCGTAATCAGCGTGATTGATACTCTTGGGAAACGCTTGTTTTAACCTTTCCTCTCTTTCAGATTTCCGAAGTTCGACGAATTCATGTCAATATTCCTCGTGGAAATGCCTCACTATTAATTTATCTAAGTGAATCAGACAGTTATATAACAATTATTTTTGAAATTTTCAGCTTCACATCTGGATGATTGATTACTTCAATATTTTATTAGAACCTTAAGTATTACTAAAACAAGTTTAAAATAACATTTAACATTACTTTGTTGTTTCAGAATGGATTGGGTCGATACAATAACTAAGACACTATTTATCGTGACCATTCTATGGATACTTTATCGTAAGAATATATTCTTTTATATTACAAATATATTTTAATATATATATATATATATATATATATATATATATGTATATATTTATTTATCATTTGTTAATCTTCGTCGGAGAATTGTGATTGTGACATTTTTTTATTATAACTAAAGACATAGAGGGAAAATATATGATATATATTGGGCAATATATAAATTTTAAATAATGCAAATAATATATCAAAATAGTAATAAATATAACATTTCACTAATCGAGAGCAAGGAGCCAAATTGGCATCTTCGGCGATTTTAGCAGAATACTCGGTTTCGGCGATTTTAATATTAAAGACCTGTTTTAACTCTTTAAATATATAAAACAGCTCATATAGATGGTAAACTTAATTTCTGCTGATTTTTTGTCTCCAAAATTGATTTGTTTAGAAAAAAAGATGAATGAATACCTTGATCGAAATAACTTTCTCCATTTTCTATTACTTTTTCCTATCTCTCGACAGCAGGGCAATCCCATGACGATAGAACGCAGTATCTTTCAAGGCGAGCTATTCATCCACCCATTTTTGGATTTCTTCGTAACTGGAAAAATATGTGTCTGTAAATGCGTGTTGCATTGACCGAAAGAGATGGTAATCTGACAGTGCCAAATCTGGAGAGTATGGATGCGAGAGAACTTCTCATTCAAGCTCTAGAAATGTCTGCTTCACGCTTTTCGTGACATGCGATTGAGTGTTATCATGCAATAAAATGATTTTACATTGATTGTTTACGTTGATTAATTACGGATGGTCTGCGTCAACTTGTTACTCAATCAGCATAACTGCTGTTAGTGGATCAGCTGTAACGATTTTATTTGACTGCAAGAGCTCGTAATACAACACACCCACCCTTCCTACTAAATACACAGTAAGGTCTTATGCCCGTGAATATTCCTTTTTGACGTTGAAGTGGATGATTGCCTGGGGCTCACCTCTAATTTCCTCCGCTTGGAATTATCAAAATAAATCCATTTTTTATTGCCAGTCACGATACGCCACAAAAAACTCTTTTTTCTTTACCTGACAAGCAAATAAATCGCTATAAACAAACGATTCGAAATGGCATTTTCTGACAACTCATGTAGTAACCATATCTCTTCCTTATGAATTTTTCCCATGGCACGCAAGCATTTTGAGACAGCCATTGGAGTAACATTTAACGCTTTTGACAATTCTAAAAGCGTTTGAGCTGGATTCTCATCAAGCAATTTTTGCTCGATATCTTTAAATTTTTTTTCGGCTGTCCGGGACGTTTTTTATCTCTCACGTCAAATTCACCGTTTCGGAAGCGTTCAAAACAAACTCTACGATGGAGTTTCATCACCATACACTTTGGATAATAAGTGTTTGGATAATACTTTTCAGTTGAGGTTTTCTTGAAATCAAAGCAGTAAAGAAGCACTTGTCAAAAAACAGTTTATTATAGTTTATTTTTAATCGATTGGAAAATCTCTTTAGTGTTGAGAAATCTAATCTGCGAGGACTGAATCACTTTCAGAAATGTCTAAACTACAAAAGATATGCGACTTCATCGTTGAAACTCGCCAGCATTGGAACTGGCCTTTAGTGATACTTTAGCAAGCGGCAGGAATTAAGTTTACCACCTAATAATATGTAGTATTTTTTATTGAATTGTAATTATAACTGCATAATTGCCTATACAGCGCAGCTTATTCCAGCAACACTGCAACATTTTAATAATATTGCAGTAATATTGGAAATGTTGTAGCAATATTACTGAAAGCTTCTATAGTCTACAGGACATAATTATAACTATTTAAGACTCATAAAAAAAATTCTAATAGTTTTATTTCACTATTAATTAATAAATATTTTAAATAATATATGTTATAATGTACTTCTTTATTGCAATTCGAGTGTTAACATTTTAAATAACATTTCTGATCGCACTTTCAGTATAAAGTATTTATATATTATAATATATATTATATTAGTATTATAATATAAATTAAATGTCAATTTCTTCAGAAAAAAAGTTGAAATTTTATTTGTGCACGCGAGTGTATGCACATTTAATTTAACTTAAAAAAATCTGTCTTTGGCGCAATTTATGCCATAGTCATTTATCAATATACGAGCTCGTATACTACATGCTATTCTGAGAATTTTTTTAGTTATTAGTTTATATATCAAAGTAATATTTTGTTTATATATTCGAAACAGTTTCAACTGCGGTCACATTATAATTTGTCTATATGCTTTGAAAAGTCGTAGTAGCTTCAAGAATCGCGAAAATCTGTTTTATTATTCAAAGAAAAACGCCACCTAAGTCTACTCCGGCTGTTAGAACTGATTCGACATCAATGTTCACTTCTTGATAAGAAGGCAGAATACGTGATATCAAATCCATTCGATATACAAAGTTTCTACTACGGTTGCTGCCAAAATATACCTAATCAACATCAAACTCCAACTAATTTATAATCTGTAATTATTTTTACTGATAAAATTGCTTAATATAGCAACATTTCTAACTATATATAATTTATTGTATAAAATTTTTTTGTATGCGTCAAATAAACGAAAAAATAAATTCTATTTATGTTAACACAGTACAAGTATTATTTGATTAGTAGCTTAAGTTAATCGAAGTAGAAATCATTTATTTAAATTTTATCGTTACTTTGTACCGATCTGCATCTCGAATACACAACCGCTACGATATAGCCTCTTCGAGTGAAATGAATAGCATCGGATGCAAGAATTAAACTTCCTTCTTAAGCGGTTTCGTATCATGACAGTGAAATATTATACGTCAAAGAATACGATAAGGATAAATACGGAAATAGTTGGCAGATTACAGGAAAGCAAGATAACATTCGCAAAATTTCCGATTATAATTGCATCAAATCGATTATTAATGGCAACGGTGAGGGTTACATAACATGAAAATAGAAGAAAAGGAAAATTATCATGCAAAATAACGCGGAAACATGATTTCTGTAAACACGTTATTCTTTTTTCATGTGTTTCATAGCATTCATTTTACGAAGGATTTTGCTTACTGAACACTTATGTTAACAGCAACAAGTTTTAGAAAGTGCGTGTCAATTTGTACTGTTACTTAATAAAATTTTGAAAAAAATGATCCAAAATTGAATGCGATATTCGTGCAATAGAATTTGAAGATTATTTTTTACATATATTTATGTTTATAAATAAATTAAAATTATAGGACACATAAAAACGTAACGATTTTAAAATGATAAGTCAGTAACATAAAACGTGCAACATAATAATGATTACTTTTCACTAGCAGATAAATGAAGAAGATTGATTAAGCGTGTGGATAAATCCAATATTCTAATATACTAGATAGTAATTACGTTATGTAATTGTAGATAACGTAATTTAGTTACAGAAAGAGAGAAAGAGAGAGAGAGAGAGAGTATAATATATTATTTTTGACAAATCTCAATTACGACAACTCAGACACAGTAATTAAAATTATAACACATCTATAATAGAAAAAAATTAATTAAATTTGAAAAATTTATTTCTTACTAAGCTTGCTTCTCTTCTATGACGTCGCTTCCGCAAAAGTTATATCTGATATTCAATTCTAAATATGAAAACAATTCCGCATTTGTGCTTTATTTTGCTTGACGTCAGAGTCATCGCGCATTCTTGCACTTCAACTAATCACTAATAAAATAAAATAATTGCTTTTCTTACAACACATTTATACCTAATCATAACCTAATTTTATATTGTAATGTAAAACATGTAAAAACCGGATTTTACAGCCTAGTACCCAATATGACCTACTCACTTTATAACAATTACACGATGAATTTAACACTAAAATCATGCAGACTATTCATCTGATTCGATTGTATCATTTTATTGCTCAGTTTGTATATTTTGTTAAAGCAAAGTACAGAATGTCGTAATGTAATAATATTTCGTAATAGTAAGTAATTACTTTCTATAACTACCAAGAAATGGATATTTCCGTAGTTTATGTTATTGTGGCTCTATTCATATTTTACGCTGAAAAAAAATTACTGAATTTTAATAAATATTTATTTCAATAGTACTAGCTAAATATTTATTTATAATAAATAAATATAATTTATTCAAAATAAAAAAGTTATAAATCAAATAAATATATGTTTGCATTTAGTAAATATGTCGTTAGTACTATTGAAACGAATATTTATTAAAACTTAGTAATTTTTTTTAGTGTACAACACTGTTTAATTTATATTTTCGTCAAAACGTTTACAATCAAAGAAAAGAAACTTTTTGTAAGGTAGCAAATCAAATGACTAACTTGTCATGTCCAGTGCTTTAAGATTAATATCTTACGATTTAAATTGTTTACGCTATGATATTTACATTGTTTACACTGTATATAATATATTAACGTTATTTTACTTTTGCATTTCAATATAGCATTCTTTTTATGTTTGTTACTCAATTTTATCTGTTTTATTAATTCGAAATACATGAGATACATTGAAGATGCGCGCAACATTTTTATATATTGCAACACTTGATTGAAATGTGCATTATTTTGTTCTACATTCTACAATATAAAAACGCATAGACGAAGTGTCATGCGTCTTCTACGAATTATAAATGTTTGGAACAAAAATAAAACCGGCATATTACGCAATCGTTGTTGAGTAACTTAAAGATTAAAGATAAACACATGAAGAAATATTATTGACAAAAACTATCTGTAAAAAATTTTATTTTTTATAAAACTACGATTCTATTTTACTATAATAAAAATGTTTATTAATTGCCATTTTAACTTTGCTATATGTTTCAAATTTGTACACTAAAAAACAACCGATTATAATTAATATTATTATTTATTTCTATATAATATAGAGATAATTGAAGAAAATATATGTTTTAAATAGATTTTTATCTATTCTTAATAATTTATCTGTTGTCTATATATTATCTTCAATAATATAAATTTTTTTTAATTTTTAGGTAAAATTTAAATCAATTAATTTTAAATTGTTTCTAAATTAAATGTCTTAAAATTATACAATGTATAAAATTGTACAATTATACATTCAAATAAAATTAATTAATGAGAATGTAGATGACAGGTTAAACATATGTGAAATTTTGTATAAAATTCTAATGTAACAGATTTTAAGAGGCTTTGTTATTGAATCTAAATGAGATTAAATTAATCTTCTTAAAATAATGTTATGTAAAGGATTCTTTAAATATCACCTTTTGCGCGCGTTGCTCGCGTAAGCACTTAATTATCTAGTAATGAAGTTAGACTGTGACGCACGTAAACCTGTCAATCGGACTGGGCCTGAATCTGCCTACGTCACAAGAACAACAGGTAGAAGATAAATGTTTCGCAAGGAAATTGTATGGTAATTGCAAGTTTCACAGCGTGCGTATGGGACAAGTTTGCAGGCATTTCGTTGATTATCCCGCAAATGCGATTAAACTGCTGGTGCGGTCTCCCGATTCTGAGTAAGTGGTATATATTGACGTCATATAATATGCAATGCACCTTTCCCTTGCAAGAATAAAACCATTGCGCAAAATAATATTTTAAAGCAAGCGATTTGCGCAAATCATCACTCTATAATCATTTGTGTTTCTGGCAAATGTATGCGATGTCGTGGCATATAAAACAAAATGAACTTCAAGTAACAATTTTTCACCTTATTTCTGTTTTTATATAAAATTTAATTAAATTTTAATTTTAATTAATAGCAAATTAAAAAATTTAATTAATGTTTTAATAATTTAATTTAAACGCTATATTTTAACTGTAATGTCAATTTGTAATTATAATGTCGCTTATTTAATAGATAATGGAGCATAATAATATGCGTGCTATGCACGCGTTATTTTTTCTCACTCATGATATGATATCACTATTTCACTCATGATAATGAATTTAAAAAAGATTATATTTTGTAACAGTATACATATTATGTTATATAATTCTAATCAGTAGGATCGATCAAAATTTTTTAGTAATTTACATAACATATTTACTATAGATATTATATTTTTATTGGTAACATGACCGATTATTATTTTAAAAATCCCATTATTAATTTTTGAAAATCATTTAATCTTCAATTGATTTTGTTTTTAACTTGTTATAAATTCATAAAGTATAAAATATTATAAATTAAAATATCTAATATAAAAAAAAGAGTTTACTTAAAGAGTAATTTATTATTTATATGCAAATTTATATAACACTTTTAATAATAAATAAAACTACTTATGCGTTACTGTACAACGTT